TATGGAATAGGGAGACCAGGAAGCTTGAACCAAAGAGGAACCACAGGAGGTTCTTTGCTAGGATCAAAGCCAGGAGTCCATTTCAAAAGTTTCATGGTAGCCCCCCCAATAACTAACGATTGTTGTGCAAAGGGCTTAGCATAACCTTCTTCTATTATCAATTGAATAAGCAAGTGCCTGCCATCTAGCAATCCCAGTTGCCAAGCACCAGTAAAGTTTAAGGACTTAACGAAGCTCTATATAAGTTCCATCTTAGGGTGACCAAGCTGGAATTTCCCTACCAAAGTAAGCTTAACCTCTTCTTTTAATGAGATAACCTCCTGAGGAGAAAAATAAACTGCAGGTTCTCCCTCTTTACACCCAAGGGGGTGAATACAGGGAGAAGTCTCTTTGCCAGCTAAAGTATCATGAAACTCCTGTGGAAAAACTAACTTATCCATATTTTGTAGATTCCCCTTAGGGTGGCCAACCACTCCAGCATAGATGGCCTTTGCCCATTGGATATTTGTGTCCAAAGTAATGTTAGTAGCCATTCTGAGCACAGGAAGAAAGAGATGAACTACCAAATAGAGAACCAACAAGCTAAAAAAGCAATGAAACAGTAAACCAAGTGACAGCTAAAACACTTCCCCACCAAAAAACAGTTAGTAAGGAATACTTCAGCAGAAAAAATCCACCCCAGCCACCAAGGTGGTCACCACCACAGACCAAGTGCTGAGCCCAACACAGCTAGAGAAGACAGAAACCAGGACAAACTAGAAGAACAACAAACAAACAACTATAGAATCCAAGGAAAACCAAGTGCAAGAAGAACCTCTAGCCCACCAAGAACTCAACAAAGAGAAAGAAACAAACCTCCCCCACCATCCTACCAACCAACCAGAATAGGGAACCATGGAAACCCTAGCAGAGCACCAGCCACCACCCCTAACAGCTCCATAAATATAAATCTATGCCAGTTGCCTTGCCAGCAACCAAGCCACCTTATGGAATGAGTTGATCCTGATTGGAAAAGCTGTAAACTCCTTTTGGATTTTGGGGGGTGATTTAAACTGTCTTTCCTCTCTTGGTGAAAGAAAAGGTGGTAGACCTCCCACTATCTCTGCATTAAACAGATTCAATGACTTTCTCTCTGAGGCTGAATTGTTTGATTTGGGGTACCAAGGGCGTGACTTCACTTGGAGAAGAGGGGCAATGTGGGAGAGGCTGGATAGATTATTAGGGAACTCTAAATGGGTTCAGACCTTCCCTTGCACTATCATTACTCATCTGGCTATGGCAGGTTCTGACCATAGACCATTGTTATGTACTATCCAAAATGCTGAAAAGCCAAAAAATGCTCCTTTGAGATTTCAAAACATGTGGACTCTCCACCCTCAGTTTGTTGATGAAGTTGGTAAGGTTTGGAGAGCTGAAGCGAACTCTAATCCCTGGGTAAAACTGTGGATTCTGCAAAAAAAGGCGGCTGCTTATCTCAAGAAGTGGAATTGGGAAAAATTTGGTAATATTAATGAAAATTTGACCACTGCTCAAAGTAATGTTATTAAAATGGAAAAGAATTTCCAAATGGGTTTGAATTCTGAAGCTGAACTGCACAAAGCAAGTGAGGAGCTGTTAATGCACACTAGTTTTACTGAATGTTTTCTGAAACAAAAAGCTATTGTCACAAGATTCATTGATGGTGATAGAAACACAGG